TCTTGATAAATGACTATCAGACTTTGAAAACTTGGTATCACTGGATCATGTTCAAATTTTTTTGTTGAATTAACATTAACTAAAAAGGTTTTTAAATTGGATTTTGAATAAATGTGCAATTAATTGTTACAGTTTTGAATTTTACTGTTACTATCTTCTTTCCGTCGTGCAAACCACCCAGTGACATGACCCCCCCAAACACGCCCACCAAGCCATGCCCACAGAACCGGTAGTAAAAAAAAATTGAATTCCACCACTGGATGGGGGGCACTGAGGATCAGTTTGTAGCACCAAGGGGGCGGTGGACTGAAAAGGTTTGGGAACCACTGTACTAAACTATAAATCAAATATAAAAACATAATAATGTTTTAAAGGCAATATTTTAAAGGCAGTAAGGCAATTATATATTTATTACTTGGTCTGCCAGATGATTCTCCAGTTCTGAGTATCAGCTTTTTCACGATTTTCATCTTCTGACAGATTTTCAAAATTGACATTAGACCAAAGCTGCAAACAACTGGAACTAGTCAATAGACGAGAACCTATATTTTTCAAATTAAAAAGCACAGATTTGTTTAGCTTAACAGATAAAAATTCCATTATGGAATTCAACATATTTAGATGAAAAATTTGAAGTATGTACTATAAAACCATGGAGAATACCATACAGTAGATAAAAGTTAAATAGACAAACAGACATTAAAAAAAAAAAACTAGCAAATGAACATCACTTTAAAAATTATTGCTTTTTGTCCCATGAAAATGTTTGAATTGTAGACTGTAATCAATTACATGAAATGTTAATGTCAATCTCTATTTATATTGGTCACCACTTGGAAGAAATTAAAAAATAGGTTGGTTCTGTGACATTTGACTGCTTTAACTGTACCACATTCAATTATATTTACTTTTTAGGTGCCTTATAATCAGCGTAACAATGAGTAAAAGATTACTTTACATGAATATAAAAATGAAAGGATGCTTACAAAATTGAAATACTGATAGTAATACTAAAATTCCAATATATAGTATATAAGATGGCACTATAAGCGAATATATATTAAAATAATTTAAACACCAACTTATTTTATGGATATATTTTTGCAATCTATACATTTAACTATTCCTAATACTCTCTTTCCTTTAATCAATCTTCTAATCTAAAGTATCATAAACATTTAAAATATTTAAATAAATAACACTCTGGTGATTAAAGCACCAAGCTGAAATGAATAAATATAACAATCAATTTACAAGACAAGAAAAGGAATATCAAAGTCTTTATGTAGAGAGGTGAGATAGATCTGAACTAAAAACTTTGAATAATGGAAAATGAACACATACTTCATAAAGTAGTAAACTGCTTCTGGTAATTTTTTAACTTGTAGATTTTAACTTTTTCTTTTGTATAGCTTTATATATTAGAAAAACTTTTTTAATTTATAGAACTGGGGGAAAATCTCAAGTTGAAAGTAAGCTAAAAGTAAACAATTAAAAGCTATGAATACATATATTCATGTCTACGTGTGTGGGTATTATGAGTGTATATTCTTGCCTTGCTTTGATAATTTAAAGCATCTGGAAATATACTGAAAAGTGACTAGAAATGTTTAAAATAAAACTAGATCAGGGTGAAACCTAAGAAAGAAGTATCTTTCCTTACCTGTGGGATCCCAGGTTAAATTATGCACAACATGTTCCAAGCAAATCTGATCTGAATTCTGCCATTGATAAAATAATCCCTAAAATCACATAAAACACAAGGTGAAATCCTTAAATATAGCATGTAATCTGTTGAAACTGAAAAATTTGTAATAAATCTAACAGAATTGTTTTTTTATTAAACCAGAATACTGATATGGCAAACAATATTTTTAAACATTTGTACCTTTTTAAAACAACATTTAGCATAAATGGAAATAAAACTATGTATCTGGTTAGCTGTTATTATAGAAAGAAAAACACTAAAACCAAGTTTAACAAGACAAACACAATAGACCATTGATGTAACAGGTATCACACAAACATATTAATCTATTCCACAAAACAAACCGTATTAGGAGCAAAGTTTGATCATTATAATTCTATATATATATATGTATATGTATGTAATGTGTGTGTGTGTATATATATATGTATATATATATATATATATATATATATA